GCGAAATAAATCGCTGTGTAGATCAGGATTGAATTTGCTGATTCCCAATGTTAAAACAGACCCACTGACTTGGATGTTTCTCTAAAAAGCTGTCACCTGTGATACTAGTAAGTAGATGTTAATATTCAATCGGAAGAGAGTCACCAGAAAAATATGTGTCTGGTATCCGGAAGAGAGTTAACTTGTTCAAGTGCTCGGTTCCCTTTAGCTCATGAAATATAAATTCATTAATTCTTGCTGCATAAGAAATAAATGGTTTTTTGCGCCTGTAGCTAGCCAACAGATAAAGTTACATTGGGATGTTTCACGATTGGCTTCATCAAGGCAGATTTTGAGATCTATAGTTTTCAAGCATTTATGAGTTAATTTCGACCGTTGATTTTCTCTGTAAAGGTAGAAGAACTTTGTGGACTATACTTTTTTGCTGTTGCTTCACTCCAAATGACTTTTGAAACTAACTGTTGCGGAGAACCTGTGAAAAGCCGGCAAAAAAGAAGTATCAACAGAGAAAAAGGTGCATACTGCTTATAGGAGGCAGCCAAGAAAAGAAAGGTGTATTTTGCTTTGAAAGGCAGACACACTGTAAATGTGCTGACAGGCAGAAGCGCAAGGGCCGATGGTGTAGTGGATAGCACGTCTCGTCCAGATGTGAAGGCTAGCGGTTCGATTCCCTCCCAGTCCACAGCCATTTCTGGAAGAAAGTTTCGTACACCACACTAGTATAAGCTCCGTTTGTAGTGATAAGTAACTGTCATTAGAAGGCCATTACCGGAAGTGGGCGGTCAGAGTGTGGTGGCCGAAGCGGGTTGAATGGATAAAAAAAGCCTTTTTTTGCGGCCTCTGGTAGGCCGAAGCATAATTTGTAATATTTTCAATACACTTCACTGTGCTATTGGCTACAGTCTGTCCTTGAAATATCGTTTGTAATTTTTCTTAAGCCTTATAACTATCTTAGTATATAAGTTCAAATAAATATTAATATCTTGCTGGGTAATAATCCAATTGTCGATTGAGAGATTTCAATAAAAACAGATTCATTTGTGAATTCATTGGTTTTGTTTAGCTCAGCGTTGGAATTCTTGTTATATGCTCGAATGATTGATGCGTATAAGATCGAATTGCGTATGGAGACATTCCATAAGACCAACAAAACTGTGTTGCTTAGATCTTTACAAAATAATAGCAGGCAAACTCCACAGGTTAGCCAGACAGTTTAATTTTTATTTCTTTAACTTAATGAAGTAGCAATCTGCGGCAATGTTCCGCACCTAGGTAGAACATCCGTGACCCGAAGAGGAATAGTTCGGTCGTTTTTAGTGCTATATTTGTGCTGATATGCACAGAATGTGCCGGACAGGCAATAATTTGCATTTACAGGTAACTCATAAGAAATAGGAATTATAGATTTTTTACACGGATTTGGCCTATTTGTGTTATAATACCGCTGATGAACTCACACGGTGGTATGAACAATGATAATAATTACATTGTATTTGAGCACCAAAAAAGGTGCTTGGCATAATCCTGTAAAGAAAATCTCTTTGTAAGCATAACTAGCACGCGAACAACCACCTGGCTAAGAATGTTCCACGTTCCCCAACAAGATACTTTGTACGGCGTTTCCGTCACAGACAAGCTGTTAATCCTCTCCAGTGACTGAGCCAAAAACTACGTCACCGAGTTTTATCCTGAGCTCGCCTCATCCGCAACACTCCATATAATCGAGTTAGCGTATCGGGCCAGTGCGCATCGGTGGCCTTCCTGCTGGCCTTTTTACATGTCGTGAGTACCAATCGATAATGTGTTTCGTCCATCTGTTGTCAGTCATCCTTGCTACGTGACCAACTCAACTTTTTTTCCTTCCACAAAACAACTCCAACAAAAAGTCATGTAAATTGTTATTTATGTCCTGGGTAGCTGCTATGCTGTCAATTTTCTTGTTGACTGTCGATAAGACTGCCGCAGTTTCTCATTCCCTCAGTGCAGTAACTGTTTAAATGGATCCTACTACTTCAAAGGCTGCTAAATACCGAAAATTTTTTTCTCGGGTGCAAAAATTCCTTTCATCTTTAAATTAAACAGAAGAAACAGGAGAAATAAAGGCTTCATCATTTAGCGGAGTACTTTTTTGCTGTTTCGCATTTCTTCTTTTTTGGCTTAACTGTATCTAAAAGAGCATACCGAAAAAGTACTGGTGGAATTGTTTATGTTTTCTTAGGAAAAAAAAGCACATTTTTTAGAAACGGGGAAATTGCCATAGATTTTTTGCGAAAATTTTAGTTGGGACTGTTTATGGCATCAGTTGTGAACGACTATCTGGTTATGGAACCATCAGTGGTTGATGCTGTTATTACAAAACTTGCACTGGACAGAAAGTATGAAATGCTTGTTGATCTGCTGAAGTATTGTGCAATGCATACGAATTTGTCGTTTATCAGAGGAATCGAACTAAAATGGTCTCACGCTGCACGATGGCTTTTTTCTTTAATTGGTACGCAAATCGCTTTTTTTCTGATTTTTTCCCCCTCATAGTTGATCAATGTTGATGCATGTGACATGCGTGAGCCAGAATTTCCATATTTGATGGTTTATGCCGAGGGATTCGAAATGCCCCGCCAATGAAAGCACTACTGTAGAAGTCGTTGATTTTTTACAGTGACACATTTTTTTTCGAGTTTTTGGAAATATTTACCTTGCTTTACAGGTAAATTTCAAATGAGGTAAACAATCGAAAACCTTGACACGAAGTAGTGGTGTTAGGTAAATAGCAATAAATAATTATGTTAGGTATGTCAAACTACCTTAATTAATTTCGTTACCACAGTCGTCGTACTGATGAAGTCCAGTTGTGGTAACGGTAAGAAATGTATACGACTTAATGAACCGAAGCATTTCTTACCAATTTTTTAAAAAATTTTTTATAAAAGTATTTTTTAGAAAGTTTGAAAAATTATAATTCTTTTCCATCTTCTCTTTTTACTTTTTTTTTCCTTCTTTTTTCTTTTTCTTTCTTCCTTTCCATTACTTTTTCTTTAACTGCTACTAACTTTCAAATAAACAAAAGAAATTAAAGCTTTCGCCTTTTTGTAGTACCTAAAATGTGGGAGGTATCCCAGCAGCACCATTAAATCGAGTACGCGCACTGACTGCCCAGACGTTCTTGTTATTCTTGGCTCTTATTACATCTAAATTCTTTGTTGGTGAAAGGAATTTTTATTTTGTGGATTCGCTTTTGCAGCAATGACTTTGACAAAACTAGGATAGTTCAGAGTTAGCGCCAGGCTATGGGCTAACACGATCCCTAGTCATCCCTAGTATGCCAATAGTAGAATAGAGGGACTGGACTTAAGTGTCATGTGTAAGAAGACATTTTACGATGCTGTCTGTGTTTCATCCCTTAGCTGTAAACAGAAACCGAACTGTCTAAGTCATGCAACTTATGTAGCTGACAAAACTTCTATTTTGTTCAGACTGAGTTTGCCGTACACTAATGACTTGACTGAACCTTCTAAGCTTATTGGTGGCCATAATTGCGACCCTCTTTCACCGCATTTTACTATTCAAGAGTAATAAATTTTGTCCATTTATGTTATCTCTGTTATTGCCACAAAATATGACTACTTGCAGAATCCTCAGAAAAATTTCTATTTCTTCATTGACGTCATTTAACATCTCTTTTTTCAGAGAGTGGAACTGCGGATGAGAAGCAGCAATTTTTTCGTTTTCTGCTTTTTTGTTTATGGTTGGTTCATTTACCGTTATTGTTTTCGCTATGCAAGCAGATATGCTCCATTTTTTTCGTAGGAAACAAATTTGTTGCTATTTCTAGTTGTCCAAAAGAGTATGGTCGTTCACTGGGAGAAATCATACATTCGCTGGATCAGAAGAAATTCCCGGTTGTTCATCGTTTATTGTTGCTGGCCTCGTGCGCTGTAATTGTAAGTTCCATCAAACTTTTTATTTTCATCATATTATAACTCAACATTTAATGGACCGAAACATTCCTATTCAGATTTTAATCTTATTCATATTTTCCTTTTTTATTTCCTTACATCTCTCATAAAGATATACCAACTAAAATTGAAATTTAACTGACATACTGAATCAAGTTTACTATTTTTTTACTAATTTTACTAATTTTTTTACCAATTAATTGTAATAATTTTACTAATTTTGTAATTCTCATTCCCTACCTTCCTTTTTTCGTTTTTTTCAGTCGTTGGTAATATACCTTTCTATTGCTATTTTACTCATTACTGAGGGGTTGTCCCAGAATGAAACGTTTGTTCTACCATCGTTCCTTACCCTGAATCTACACATACATTCGGTCTCTGTACATACGAAACAAGCAAATTTGTTACTGCAGCAGATTCTCTACATATGCATGCAGTTCGTAGGTACATGAAGCACAGGGGTTGTAACCTTTGAGTTTGAGACGAAGATCGGCTGATTTGTGCGCGAATGCTTCTGGGTCGACGCGTTGGACGACGCTGTACTGATTGTTGACGGGGGAAAACTTTGTGCAAAAAACAATGCTGCGGAGACGATTTTTGTACTGGAGAGTTTAGACGAACAAGAATACAAGAACAACAATAATAATCCCCAGTAGGGGAAATGGCTTTTATAGTGTGCATGGTTGGATGAGCGGGTAGCGCTGATCGGCCACCGTTGAACGGCATAATCCACCGAGAGTAATGCACAATTGAACACGAAAGCGCTTGGCCCGGTTTTGTGACAGGGACTGGTTGGTGTAGTGGTCTAGCAAGTCGCGTCCGAATGTGAAGACGAATGGTTCGATTCCTTCCCGGTCCATCACTATTTTCAACAAAAAAGAGGCCCGAGCCCAGCACTTCTCATTGGTTTTGTCAATATCACGATTGCATTGTGCTTCAGAAATTACAACGTTTTTCAGTAAAAAATCGAGAAATGAAAGAACCTTTAATTTTACCAAAATAATTTTAACATGTAATTCTGCAGGAAAATGAAGAAGAAATTTCGCAAGATTGTTTAACGAGCAGTGCACGCTCGGATCTTGATTTCGGGTTGAAATGGTGCTGAGCGAGTCTTCGTGGCTTACGCTCCATTTTTCATGCAAAGAGATTTTACTTACATTTTTTGCAAGCGATTTGAAATATTGCTGTTTTAAGGTGTCGTTGCTTGTTCTCCTTGGTTTTTGTTGTATTTTATATATGCCTAATATACGGAAGAATTGTGAGCGTGAGGAAAGTAGAATTGTTTGTGTGCGATCTCATTCTTCTTAGACAGATAATTTTTTTTGTTGTGGTATCGGTCTCAGAACAAAATACTTAATTCCTCTGCTTGTTTAATGTTTTATTGATCGCAGTTACGATGTGATCTTTGTTGAAGATTGAAGCAGTTGTGCAGTATTATTGTATTAATGCATGGATAGCATCAAGAAATGTTGGTGCTGCTTGGTTTTCACTAGAATTTGTAGCTTTTAATGAAGCTCCAAGAATTTTCGTAAAAAAATTTTTCCTCAAAAATTGGGGAAGGAAATTCAGTAATTCGTTTTTTCATGGTGTTTTTTCTTTTTTTCTTCTTTTGTAAAAGCTCTCTGTTTTGATGCTGTATTTATAATTTTAATAAAATTTCAGCTATAAAAAATATTGTCATATTCTAATATCCAAAGAAAATTGTTAAGGGTTTTCTCCCCTTTTTTTCGGGAGGGGGATAAACTTAGAGGGATCGGTGCAAGAGAAAGTCTAGCATTCCTGGATGCTTGCTATGATCTCGTCTTCTGAATGCTGTTGTGGGATGAAAATCGCTCTTAATGAATGATTCCTGTTTTCGAATGCTGTGTGGAAGTAATTTTGTGGAATTGGTCGTCAGTTGTCAGAAATCTAGATCTGACTTTTGTCTTCTGGTTCTGTCTCGGATTGCCACTTTTAAATCGGATTCTGGGAGACAAAGTTCAATAGGGGTAGTTCTCATAAGTCGGGGTGGGAGAATTTGATCTGAATTTTGATTCTAAGTACCAGTGAAATCAGAATCTCTTTCGCATTCGCTTTCTATGAGGGGGCGGAAGTATTCAGAAAGTAGTACGAGACTAGCAAATGCCAACACCAATTACTCGCTGACAAGACTGTCGGTGCCTCGCCCTTTTAGCATTGCTTGGAAGCAATCTAATGGTTGGTTTGATTTCCCCACTTATGCCAAGAATATTAATATCAGTGTAGGTATTTCACGGTACTAGGTTGCTTTCACACAACGGGTTCAGCTCTACTAGGCTCTTTGACCCTGGGCTGCATACCACAAGCTAGTCCTTATTCAATGCATGTCCAATTTCTTCGGAGGTCTCCCAAGTGGTCGTTTATTTTGTGGTGGGTACCACTCGTTAATGCACGTTGACCATTGATTGTCATCGCCAAGATGAGCAATACGTCCTGCCAGTTAAATTTTACTTTCTTGCGTGATCGCAATGATATCCTGTACGCCGCTCATTTGACGGAGAGTCTGACTGTTTACATGGTCGTGGAGAAATGCGCCAAACATTCTTCGCTCCATCGCTCTCTCCGTCACAGCCGGCGCTCTCAGTGACCATGTTTCGCATCCGTATGTCTTCAAGATAGCGGTATTGAGGGTCTACGCACGATCCTTCCGGTTCGACATTTTGAGGACGTCGCCAGTGCTGTGAAATGTGTGGCAGCCGGCAGCTTTTCGACGTGCAATCTTCGGCTGGAGTTTGTGGCGCATATTTGCTTCTTGCTAGAGGTCAACGTCACTGTCAACTCCTTCCAAGTCCGCAACATCTATCAGGCATGTGCCAGTACCAACTTACTGGCGAAATGAATGAAGGTCTGAAATGGTTGATTGTTTTAGGGGCACAATCAGGTCTCTGGCTTACTTCACGGCAACAGCGCTATCATGCCTCCAACTTATTAACTTATCTTTAGTTATATTTTTAGGTCGGCGAGGCCATAAATTGAAAATTCGGAATTTTACGAGACAAAAATTCACTACAGTGCGTTGCGGTACAAAAATTCACTATCGTTTTTGCGTATCTTTGGGGCACCCGGAAACTATGCATCCAGAGCAGCTGATCGCAAAAACGTACAATCATGTCAGCGTTCTAAAATTTTCCATCACTCCTTTATTTTAGAAGGTAAACACTGGCTTTATAGAAAGTGATCGACGTCGAAAAGATAATCTAAGTCCCAGAAATCCTACTTCCAAAATGCGATGTAGATTCCAATTGTAAATTTCATTTTGGTGTTGCCTATTACAGCATATTTAACTTTGACACAGATAGTAGCAAAGTGTAAGTTATTTGATATGGCGTGGCCAACTGTGATTGTTGTGTGGGAGCATCCTAGTAACAACATTAACAGGGGGATATCGATACTAGTAACCGAGAGGTATTAATGTAAGTTCTTGATTTAGTAAGATGTGTACAAAACCGGATACCCTTGTAATACTATTAATTTATTAAGGCGTGCACAAAGCTAGATTCGATTGTAACACTTGAAAAATGCAGTCAATATAAATTTTATCGTAAATTTGAGAAAGTACATCATTTTACGTGATTTCAATTTTTTATCAAAAGAAAAGTTCGTTTTTACTTCTTTCTCACAAGTTCAACTTCAAACATTAGATTGGCAGCTGTCATTTTGCCTGTTCTACTTTTTATTTGTTTTTGTATTTAAAAACATTTAATGCAGCTCATGTTTGCATAATCTTGTATTTTAGCTGGTGTTGCTGACACTCCAGATGCAACTATGCCAGGTCCTTCAATCCTGCGCTGTGTATTTCTGGTTACTGCTCATTGCCCACCTTTCCTGGGATTGGTTTTGGTTTACATTTTTGCGGGTATCGCTCGTTGGCGCATAACGTTCACTAGTGTCAACAAGGTGAGCAACATGATTAATTGATATTGCCTTAAAAAATGTTTGAATGTGTTGTGATTTTTTTCTAAAACTTCGCGTTTCCCGCAATTTTGAATTTTCACCTCAAGAATTAAAGACATTTTGGACTTTGCCATGTGATAGATAATTCGGCTGTAAAGCTTTTTGGAATATTAGTATGGAAATTATAGGAATTACCAATTTTTTTGGAATAACTTATAGGAACATAATTTAACAGATATGTAGGGGTCATTCTGTGTTTCATCCCTTAGCCGTAAACACAGACACAGCTCTGTGTGCCGTTAGGAGTGGGAATCATCAGTACAGTATCCACAAACTTGCTACGTGAAATATACGCTTGCGCGTAAAGTGCCTCAAATGAATTTTGCTCATCATCAAAACACAATATAACGTATTGCAGTTTGTGAACAAAAGTGTTGAGCGGTGTTTGAAATGATTTCACATCCCGTGATGAGGGAAACAAGATTGATGGATGCATGTCGGATGAAGAAGTGGCGATTGTCCAGGGGAAGCGCATTTGTCGCGTTCGTTAGCGTGCTGGAAAGTGTAAATTTGTGCTGATCGGCTTGCTCAGGACAACAAACTTCATTGCTGGAATTCCTCCTGCTCCTCCTCCAGTACTGCTGTCGTTGCTGTTTCACAGTCGCTAACATTTCCAAGCGTTCATCATCAGATGGATGGATGGTTTGTGGCGCAGTGCTGTCGACCGGCCGGAGCGCAAAACGCAGTTGTTCCTCGCCTGAAATTGCCCCGCAATAGCAATAGCAATAGCAGCAATCGAGC